TCCTGTTCGCTTCAAGCTGCCTGGCTGCCGGCCGCCATCTTGGCTGGCAGTTAATTTGCATATTGCCCTGATTAGCCAATGGGAAGGGTAGCGGAGGTGCGGCTAATTACCATGTTTCTCTTTTATTAGATAGGATGCCTGTGCTATATTTATATTGAAGTACTGAAATCTGCTCAAATATCTTAGTGAAAAATTGGAAATTTGATGTCTAACTGATACTCTTAAAATATCTCTTATTTCTCTGTAGACCAAATTATCAAAAATTCTCATGATTAAAAAGGAACATATCAAGAAATTAAGGGAAATGAACACTGATGCAGAAAAATTGGTAAGGATGTTTTTTATTGTTCTTTGCTTGTCTACTTTTGAAATAGTGGGAGCTTCTATAAGGATTTTTTAAATATTTTATGGAAGAAAACTTTGAGATAAATGTTTATTTTTAAAAACATATTATTATTGATTTCAGAGAGGAATGGAGAGGGAGAGAGATAGAAACATCAATGATGAGAGAGAATCATTGATCAGCTGCCTCCTGCACGCACCCCCCTGGGGGTCGAGCCCACAACCCAGGCATGTGCCCTGACTGGGAATCCAACCTTGACCTCCTGGTTCATAGGTCGACGCTCAACCACTGAGCCACGCCAGCTGGGCGAGATAAATGTTATTTTTAAATATTCATTTGTTATCGCTAAGAATTCCAAACTGGAGGAAAAATAAAATTCAAACTCTGATATATAAAAGAGACACATTGAATATAAAAGGACTCTCAAAAGATAAAAATGTAAATGAATGAAAAGATATTCAGTGCAAAGTTTTAAAATAACAACAAAAGATCTTATAGCTATAGTAATAGCTGACAGTAAAATTCAGGGCAATAGATATTACAGGACATAAAGAGGTATCTTGCTAATGATAAAGGTATAATTTAAAAATTAATCATTTGAAATTTATATGTACTTAATAATTTAGCCTCCAGATATATAAAGCAAAAATCGCCAAAACTCAAAGGAAAAAGACAGAGCCACTGCTGTAATGGGACAGTTTCCATAGCCTCTTAGTAACAAATAAAACAAGTAGTCAAAAAATCAATAAGGATATACAGATTTGATATACAGTCAACAAACTTGCTTTTATTAACATAGGTACAATATTATACCTACCAACTACAGGATACTATTCTTTGGATACACACATAGAATATTTACAGTAATTAATTGTATGCTGGCCCTGAATCAGATTTCAACAAATTTCGAGATGTTTAGAATTCTCCAGAATGTCCTCTGATCACAGTGCAAATAAGCTTAGACGATAATAACAAAAGGATGCCAAGAAAAAAAGCTTGCAAAATTTTAAATGCAGCACTAAACTATTGATCAAATAATTATGTTGGAGACTAAGAAAATGTTTTGAATTGAGGTGATCAACAAAGTCAAAAGTTGGTTCATACGGAATTTACAAAGAAAATAGAATGTTGGTTTGGTAAAGTCTCCTTGAATTTTGGAAAGCTCAAATGTTTATCTCATATTTTACCCAGCAAAAGCAAATGTTTAAACTTTCTGTTTGTAAAGTGAAAGGGGGAGGAAATTACTTTATATTATATTAAAACTAGTGGTCTGGTGCACGAAATTTGTGCACATTAAAAGGGAATTAATTAGAGGAAATATTTTAATATTGCTATTTGCCCTTTCTCTATAATAGAAGTGTCAGAGATGAAAGAAAATTAGTAAAATGTATATTGAAAATCTGCCTCCTGTTAGAGTCTAGGGCATGCCACGGAACCCAGAGTCAAGTTCCCGCCCACCCGTGTGCACCTCAAAATTGCGTGAGACTTAGACCAGGCCGGCCCCACCCCCATTGGGCGAGATCCAGACCTGGCCGGCCCAACCCCCCATCAAGCCCCGCTGTGTGTGGGGTGCAGCCTCATGTCCCCTGGCCTGGCGCCGGGCAGGGGGCACAGCCTCAGGTCCCCATCAAACCTCACCAGGTGGGGGGTGCAGCCTCAGGTCCCCCAGCGCACCATCGGGTTCCCCGGCCTGGCGCCGGGGCAGGAGGAGTGGCCTGAGGTCTCCCATCAAGCCCCTCCAGGCGGGGGGTGCGGCCTGAGGTCCCCCGTCAAGCCCTGCCGGGTGGGGGGGGCGCAGCCTCAGGTCCCCCGCTCCTGCCCGGTGCCACGCAGCCTCAGGTCCCTGCTGACCACTTGTTACGGCTCGTTATGGGAACCCTGCTTCCGCTGTGGGCGCAGCTATCTTGTTACAGCGCAACAGAGTGACAGTCAATTTGCATAGTGCCGCTTTATTATATAGGACACTTTAGTCACTTTTATGGAACAAGGACAAATTTCTCAATCATACACCTGAGAAGTTTTCTTATCAGGTTCATTCAGAGTTAAAGTTTGAGCTACCATTTCTTGGTCAAATTACATAGTATATTAAAGTCAGTGAAAGTTTGTCTAAGATTTTTAATTTCAATATGCCTTTTCTATTTAAATATTCAAAATATACTCATATAGATCATTCACAAAGAAATTGTGTGTGTGGAATTTATTAAAATAGATTTGAATTGCCTCAACAATTTATAAAAATAGATATTGAACTTATAGTCTCAATCTATTTTGCTTTTCCACTTTGAAAATTTGTCTTGTCACACATGGACATGAATAATTAAGGAGTAGGGAAGGGGAATATATCGCTGAGAGCTCTGACTTACCCTTTTAAAGTCCTGTCTCAGTGGTTCTGGGAAACTGGATACTGTGTGTTCTGTGCTCCTTCCCTTTCTCATACTCACTGCTGCAAGAGCTGGTTTTCTCGCCCTGAATATGTTGTCACATTGTCCTTACCATGTTTGTTAGTTGTCTTATTTTGAGGATCATGAATCTATGCAGAAATCTTCTTAACAGTTAACCAGTCTTCAAAATAGAATCCATGTTTTATGTCACACTCCACCTGTTGTGATCACCTAAAGCGCACTAGCTGATTATAGGAGGGATTGATAGAAAGCCATAGCAATAAGAGTAACATATTTAAAAGGGCAGGGTTTTTTTAAATAACAGCTTTATTAAAATAGTCACATTCCGTGCAATTCACCTGTTTGCAGTAAGTGAACAGTTCAGTAGTTGTTAGTTTACAGTTCAGTTCACAAGTTGTGTGGTCATCACAGTCAATTTTAGAGTATTTCCATTATCCCAAAAGAAATCCCATACCTTTTATTTATTTTTTATTTTTTAAAATATATTTTTATTTCAGAGAGGAAGGGAGAGGGAGAGAGATAGAAACATCAATGATGAGAGAGAATCATTGATTGGCTGCCTCCTGCACGCCCCCTACTGGGGTTTGAGCCCACAACCCCGGGCATGTGCCCTTGACCAGAATCGAACCTGGGACCCCCTGGTCTGCAGGCCGATGCTCTATCCACTGAGCCAAACCAGCTAGGGCAATCCCATACCTTCTAGGAGTCACTCCTCATTTCCCCTTAATCACTTCCCCACCCCATACATAGGTAACCACTAATCTAACTTATTTCCGCCTAGATATTTAACATATCTAACATGTTAGCCATTTCCCAACTTTTTACATTTTGATGTACGTATGTAAAGTCCTTATATGTTTTCTAAACAACTTATAAAACTGTTGAACATAGCCCTAGCTGGTTTGGCTCAGTGGATAGAGCGACAACCTGAGGACTGAAGGGTCCCAGGTTCAATTCAGGTCAAGGGCACATGCCTGGGTTGCAGGCTCAATCCCCAGGAGGGGGCGTGCATGAGGCAGCTGATCAATGATTCTCACTCATCATTGATGTTTTTAGGTCTCTCTCCCTCTTCCTCACTGAAATCAATAAAAATATATTAAAAAAAAGAAGAAAAACAAAACAGAAGACCCGTTGAACACAAAAGTTGAGGATCAAGGTTTTTGACACCCACTAATGAATTCTGTGCAGGATGATACGGAGCCTTTAATTATATATATATATTTATTTATTTTAAATACTAGAGGCCCGATGCATGAAATTTGTGCAAGGGGCTTGGCACTCACAGCCACAGCGGCTTTCTTCGGCCCTCGCAGCCCCGGCTTCGTCTGGAAGGACATCCGAAAGGTTATTTGGCTGTCCAGTCTAATTAGCATATTATGCTTTTATTATTGTAGATTATTACAGAAGATATTTTTATTGATTTCAGACAGGAAGGGAGAGAGATAGAAACGTCAGTGATGAGAGAGAATCATTGATCGGCTGCCTCCTGCATGCCCCCAATTGGGGATCGAGCCCGCAACCCAGGCATGTGCCTTTGACCAGAATCGAACTTGGGACCCTTCAGTCCGCAGACCAATGCTCTCTCCGCTGAGCCAAATTGGCTATGGTGGAGCCTTTAATTATTTTGATTTCGATTAACTAGTTCTGAGTCTATCAGATTATATACTTATCCTCAAGAAAAGACATGGTCAGATGCTTAATTAAACTCAACACTGTCTTCAGTAACCCCCAGTCCATCCAACAGGGAAATGAACTTAAATTTACCAGGTCCTGTTTTCCTTGCACTGTAATAAAATACTAAGTTTTTGGATAGTACAGTGGGCCAAATCCACAAACATTGAAGCTTAGGTAGGGGAGATGCAGGAGGCACCAGTGGTAGACTGAAAGTAGGACATCCTGGATATGATTCCAGGCTGGTCTAGAGCTACACTCCCCTCCTCTCCTGTGACGGTCCCTCTCCTCCTCTTCCAGGGCATGGGTGGCCCGTGCAGAGGAATCTGACCCATGCAGCCTGGCTTCAGCTCCTGCATGCTTACCCTTTAGTGGCTGTGGTAGATGGGCCGCAGATTCCTCCTGTGTGAAATGGGTAATCCTAGTACCCTTTCCATGGGGTGGTTGTGATGATTCCATAAGACTGCATTAAATACTGAGAATAGTGCCGGTACTTTATTTTACTTATTTATTGTAAATTTATTTTTTATTTTATTGTCTAAAGTTTTACATATGTCTCCTTTTTCCCCGATTGAC